AAATTACAGCTGAGAATGTTGGGAATTTTTAAAGTGTTGCGATGGCTTTGAATGGTGTCTTCGAATTAATCGGTTATTTTTAATTATAATTTATAATTGTAAAAGTTTCATTTGCCGCCCTTTTTTCAGGATGGAAAGGGGCAGGGCATGGGGAGCATTTACCTGGTAAACAGGCTGTTTTCTGTTCAAGTTTGTCGATGAAAATGTTCCGTTTGTCAGACATATTACAAGAAAAGTGGGCGTCCTTGTGTTTTACAAGAAACAAGACAAAAGACGGGATTCAGAAAGTGAAAAAGCAGGGTCAGCTGTCATATTTGTTTTCTCCCTGAGTCAAGTTTAGAAAAATTGCTGCACAGTGGCGGAATGTTTTTCTTTCATGTTAGCTAAAGTTTACCTTGAGACCTTGAGGAACTTGGAAAACGCCTTCAACACAGCAGCGTCAGTTAAGCAGCTAAGTCTGACAAAGTTTAAGCAGTGGAGTTAAGTCATTAGCGCAAAAGTCCTACAGTAACTCGTTTTATTTCTGATATTAGCTTAATAGTGAAGAGTGAGGGTTTACATACGTGGCTATTGTCAGACTTTTGAAGAATGTAAGATAATTGAATAATATAACATGGCATAACCTTTAAAAATAACTAGTGCGTAAAGGCACTGGTAAACGCTGGTTGGCATTTACAATGTCCTAGAGAAATAATATACAGTACCTCATTTGTAGCGTTCGTATTGTACGTATAGCTTCAGTAGCTCACTTCTATTTTTATCCAGACTGATTGCTCTCACTCTGTCCCTCTCAGCCACACTGGATGGCCACTGGACCGTGGCTTGTTATACTCTATAGAAACTCTGATTGTGCAGTGGTCCGGACAGATATGGAGTGTGCTGAAGAAAGACTCTGGTATGATGCTGCTTCAGGGAAACCACCCAGGCCCCAGCGTGGAGCTTCAGTTCTGGGCAGCTCAAAGGGAAAACCTGCTGGGCATCCAGTCACAAGTATGACGTTATAAAATAAGTATAAGACTCGTGTTATTCATTAGTTTAAAAAGAACAAAAAAAATGTATGCAATGTATGTTAAATGTATGTTAAATGTTTATTAAATGCGTCCAAAGTTAAATAACAGTAGAGGTATATAAAAGTCGTCCCCGTGAGCCAAAGCTCAGCCTCCAGATTGCTCTGAATAGTGAGTTTCCACTTGTTATTTTCTATTGCTGCAAGAGGCTGACATCAGCTCCTCCTGGATTTCTTTATATAGTCATCTGCTACAGGTACAGCCACCTTTAAAGTACTGACAGCACAGCTCACAAGCAATGGCAGACTTCTGGAGAATGATCATCCAGAAGGGACGTTTAAAGGGAAGGTTAAAGAGTCAGCTTGTTTCAGTCCATTTAAAGAGCTGTGAATCATGCTGGGGTGCTCTAGTGGAATCACAATATACAGGAAGGAAACCTGACAACTAATGGAATTTTACTTTATATTCATTGCATGCGATGCTTAATGTTGAGATGTGTCCCTGTGTCAAATGGTAAATGGCCTGTATTTATATAGCGCTTTACTAGTCCCTAAGGACCCCAAAGCACTTTACATATCCAGTCATCCACCCATTCACACACACATTCACACACTGGTGATGGCAAGCTACATTGTAGCCACAGCCGCCCTGGGGCGCACTGACACCAATACAGATGAACAGAGAGGGCAGCAATGACGAAAGTTGTCAGTGTAGTACAAAACCTGTACATTTATTATACTCTTGAAATAATAAGTCAGTGCATGTTAATATGAGATCCTTGGTTTCAGATCCGCAGCTCCAAAGTGGAGCAGATCATGGAGATCCTGAGAAGAGTCAAGAGCAGTTACTACTCCGCCTTCAAGGACGTCTGCGTCAAAGTCAATGAGGGTAGATCAGCATTACTTCTCATTCATCAGGGCTTTAATTTGTTTTGTCATCATGACATGAGCATGACAGTTCCAGCTCCCATTTAGTTTAATTTAAGAAACAGATCAAGCATTAATTTTTCTTTATGCTTACTGAACCCAGAATTTTACAACACTGTTACCCTAACAGAACCTTTTTTTTTTCTATACTTTGCTTTTTCATTGCATTTTCTGTGTCATCATGCTCACTTAACAATCATGGGAAGTGCAGATATCATGTTTACACTGGTGCTAAATAAATGTAATCAGAGATCACACCTTTTAGAGCACCATAAATGCCCCATTATGTTCACGTTATCGACTGATACTTGTGGATGTAATTATCACAGCCGTGCTGGAAGCAGAAGACATAGATCTGTATCTACGCCCTCTAAGGAGACTGATTACAAACTTGGAGGAGAAGAGTTTTCCACAGGTGGATGCGCTATTACCTCCTCTTTTTCACACGCTCTGCCTCATCTGGAGTCATTCCCAGTATTACTGCACTCCTCAGCGAATGGTAGTGCTTCTGCAGGAGTTCTGCAACCTGATCATTGAAAAGGTACAGGTGATGCATGTCTGTGCACATGTGATGAAAAGGAGACAAAGGAAGAGGAATTAAAAATTTATCTCTGTAACGACTTTGTGTCTGAATACAGGCCTTTGCCTATTTAATCCCTGAAGAATTGTTTAAGATGGAGCTTGAGGAAGGGATGGAGAGAGTACAGATAAGCATCTCAGTTCTGCGCACCTTCAAGAAATTGTTTCACACTTACCGCGAGCAGATCCCGAAGTATTACAAACACTCACAGAGCATCAAGCTCTGGGACTTTCCAGCGAAACTTGTGTTTCAACGCTCAGATTGCATCATGGAAAGGCTTCTTATGATCGAGGTCTGTATCTTGGTTTTCCAGGAAAATTGAAAAATCGACATCTCTCACTCCTATAAAGGAGGGAGTATTTTTTTAATCAAGTAAATCTGCATGAAAATGCATATTTTTGAACTTCAGCTCCACGATATTATGCTGATCCATCACTGTCTTTTCTCATTTCACTCGTAGGAACTTTTTGCAACAGCACTGGACTTTCTGAAGCTGGAGAAAATTGAATTAGGTGGATCCAGAGGGAAAATCTTAAGTGAGATGGTCTTCAGCATGAGTGAGGAGTTTCATGACCGCTGGCGGACCCTTAGAGAGAGCAAATATGACCCCTTGGACTGCACTAATGACGTGAGAGCTACTGAGAGAGTTGCCGTTGTTTTTAATATCACGCTGCTCTTTAATTGTGGCATTGGCTGGCACAGGCAAATAATAAAAAATAACAATTATATTTTATTTTTCTGCCCAGCAGTACAATAATTGAAAGGTAGAAAAGCAGAGTAGTTGCTAAGCAACACACAAGAACAAGTGGCAGGAGTCATTATTAGTCAGCGCATCAATATTTAATTTACTGGATATTTTACAACAGTTTTCAGCGTGGCTCAGAACAGGAACTCGATCAGAAATTGATCTGTGTTATAATATATTTCTCTCAAGTATGTGTTAATCCAGTCAATACTGATTAAATGAGCTAAGGAGGAATTTTATGGAATGAAATTGTCTAATAATTTAAATTGAATCAAAGCTTTTTAATCACAAAGGCTTCTCAAAATACCCATCATTTCCCCTCTAATGCCTTCTCAGGATTTTGTGAACCACTATAGGTGTTTCTTGGAGCAGAACAAAGATTTTGACCAAAGGCTGGGAACTGTCCTCAATTTGGCCTTTCAGCACTCCAAAAACCTGAAGTCAGCCTTTAAGGTAGGCCGGTTACTCCTTTAAAAGTCATTTAGTAGTTTACTTAAAGTAGCAAGTGTACAACATTTAGCAAGTTAACATAATAGCATCATTTGGTTGTTTTGGGGGATTTCAACTAGTGGTGTGTACATGTTTTGTGCCTTGAATGTACAAAATGTCACAAAGCTGCTGTTGTTCCATCTAGCTGTTGAAGATTTTTGGCACCCTGCTTGAGAGACCCAGAATCCACCAGCTGTTTTCACCTAATTACAGTGTGCTGTTGGACATGTTTAGCCAGGAAGTATGCCACTGCCAGTTTATACTTGATCAACACAAAGATGGGGTGAGACAGATTGAAATTATGTTCCTAATTACTCGCACACATTTGCTTCACAATACGCCACGATTCAGCTGCTGTATTTTACGCGTGTGTCTGTGTGTGTTATGAGTGTTTTATGTGTGTATTAATTAACTGTTTGATCAAGTTTAGCAATTTAAAACACTTCATTTTTGTCTTAGCAGTGAGTTTTATAATGTCTCTGGGTACCTGGGTTTTTCCTGCATACATAATTTGATTTTCAGTTGCCCCAAAGAGATTTTAGACTGAATTTTTAAAAAAAAAATTACAAGGGTTGTAATTAAGATTACAATGCTTGGCTATTATTTTTAATTACTGAAGCACATTAGGCATTTTTTTAATCAAATAACCAGACATCTTTGTTTAGGCACATGTGCACTTATTACATGTTTTCATTTACAGTTATTGTATGTTTATATGTTTACAATGTAGGTTGTCTGACACACAGGAAAAACAAAATGATGAGATTTCATTTGGGATTGTTCTGTGTCTTCAGTTTTTGGACCCAGCACAGTGCTGTGACACACAGGACACTGTGAGAGAAATAAAGTTAACACCAGCTGGTATTCACAAAATAAATGGCACTGCTAATAAATACATTTCCTGTATACTGGGAGCTTAATTTAAATAATATGAATATTATTAAAAATATGTAAACAGAGCCTTTGCACACTTGCATAAAAATGTAAACATCCACAGCTCACTGCTCTTACACCCAGCGAGAACAGTGTCATTAATTACAGCGGAAACACAGTGCTGTAACAGCTGCTTCATAAATAGTTTGCATGCATTACATGTTAATTGTAGCCACAGCAGAAGATTTGAGATGACACAAATGGCACTGGGGTCCACATACTTCCGCGTGAGAGTGTTAACTCAAAGTGATTTGAAAGATTAAGCTGTCAGCCAAATGGCATGAAACCTTGTGTTTCAGCTGCAGTCAGGTTTTGCGATCCTGGGAAAGAATATGCCTCAAGTTGCCGGTAACCTCAAATGGTCGCAGGAGCTCCGAAGCCGGATTCTGACTCACAGGAGTAACCTCTGCCAGCTGCCCCACATGTAAGAACCTACCTAATAAACACAATAAGGATGATTTTAGAGTATTTTTTGGTGCAAAGCACTTGGTTATTAATCACTAAGGGTATTAAATCAATAAAATGTTACCTTCCTCAGTTAACATACATGGGTTTTGAAACCCAGCAGATCCATTGATGTTATTATTAGAATTTGCAGTAACCGAAAAAAGTTTAAAAAATATATATCTTGTGTCCATTGATTATTTAAAGATTTAAAAAGAACATCAAACATTCAAGGCTTTAAGCAGTCAGCTGTAACTAATATTTCAGATTCATGTACCCTGTATTTAATCATCTGACCAATAATGTGTACCTAAAATATGTATTTTGGTTATAAACACTTTTTTTTTTTTTGCATTTAGCATATTCATTACAAGAATTTATTTATTTTACTGTTTCTGCCAAATGTTTACAGGATACACATGACTTATACTTCACTTGCTATATAATTCTTTTCCTGCATTATCTCTTTCTTTCTCCGTCTCTCTTTCAGGCCCCTGGATTGTGCAGAGGCACAAGATGTCCTCCAGAGGTGTGAACGCGTTCTTGAGGTTTTGGACCAGCGTGATGAGGAGATGTTCTTAGAGTGGACCGAGGGGCTTGAAGAAATCTGTGAAACACACCTCAAGGAGCCACTGTTGGCACTGGATAGTGAAACTGGCTTCTTCCAGGTCAACTTCAGTCCTGGTGTAAGCCCAAAGACGATTGATTTTTGAACAGACTTTAAAAACAGATAAAAGATATTCCATAGAGGCAAGTAAAGGTGAAAATCTAAAAGTCACAGTCATTTTGACTGTATGAGTTCAGAAGTGAAATGACTTGTCAGACTGCTTCTTTAATTCAATTCAATTCAATTCAATTTTATTTATATAGCGCCAAATCACAACAAAAGTCGCCTCAAGGCACTTCATAGGTACAGAGAAAAACCCAACAATCATATGACCCCCTATGAGCAAGCACTTTGGCGACAGTGGGAAGGAAAAACTCCCTTTTAACAGGAAGAAACCTCCGGCAGAACCAGGCTCAGGGAGGGACGGGGCCATCTGTTTCTGTGCTGTGATGAGCTCTGAAACCTGACTGAAACTCTTCAAATAAACCATTCCTCTGCAGATGATCTGTTAGCTGTTTGACAACTACTCTTTCAAGGATTTTTGATATTAAGGAAGGTTGGAGATTGGCCTATAATTAGCTAAGACTGCTGGGTCTAGAGATGGCTTTTTGAGTAAAGGTTTAACTACAGCCAGCTTGAATGCCTGTGGTACATAGCCGATTATTAGAGATAGGTTGATCATATTTAAGATCAAAGAATTAATTAATGGCAGGACTTCTTTAAGCTCTGCAGGAGAGAGATCGAGAGAAATTCAAGGTTTTGTGAAAAAAACCTGCTAGTATCAAATTGAGCTCATAGAGTGTTTTTCTCTGCTAAGTCATTATTCAAACTAGTGCCTCTGTCTGCATTTCTTTCAACTCAAGGTTAATAAACCCACATTTTTGTCCACTAAACTCACTTTGTGAAACATTCCCCAGAAGTAGCAACAGCAGTTTGATACACAGATGAAGCATATTTTACTAGTATAATTAATCACCATGGGAGGAAACAATGGATACACATAAATATAAAATATGAGAAGGTGTTTGGTAACTGATATCTATTCCAAAATCATGTACTATAATCTATGGAAATCAGATTGTACTTTCTTTTGTTGTCACTCTCCACAGTTAGCATCTGTGCTAAGAGAAGTGAAATATCTGGGCATGCTGAAGACCCAAAACATTCCCCAAGCAGCTCTTCATCTCTATTCTAAACGAGAGAGACTACACATGGTAGGTCATTAACCCTCAAGCAGTTTTCTGGACTTGACAGCTTTCTTTAGAAAGCGTGTTTTTTAGAAATATGTTGGGGGTTTTAATGCTGCATTTTATTATGCAGTACACGCAAACACTGACTTTGGTGACCCAGTGGTACAACCAGCTCCACAGCACCATCCTAGCTGTAGAGCTGGGACTGGTCAAAGATGAGATGGATGGGATGAGACGACAGCTGAATCCGGCCCTCCGGGAAGTGACATGGGCTCAGGATGACCTATGGGACTACATTCAGAGTACACGAGACCTGGCACAGGTACTGTAAATATGCAGGAAATGTTGTATTGAACTTATAGCAAACAAAAAGATGCAAGGCAGTGCCTGCATTAATGGGTGAGTTTCCTGTACATGTGTTGGTTGACACTATTTTGCAGCATATTTAAATGGTTTTGCTTTTTTAAGTAGAATAAGCACTGTCTCTGTCAACATTTGGGCTGATTTATTTAAAAAAAGCCAGCGGTCGACTGTCTGCATGAAACCCCAGAATCCTCTGTGTGTGGGCCAAGCTAGTTTTCTTAATTATAGCCCTATCTCAGAGCGCTTCAACTCTACAGCAAGCACTTGAAAAACAAAAAGCAACATGATGCCGGAAACATAATTATTGCCTGTAATTGTTGCTCCTTTTTTTTTTTTTGCCATCGCCAGAGCATTTCTAGTCGTGTCCAGAAGAGCAAAGCTAATGTGGAAGCAATCCAGGCCTTGATGGGTAAATTCAGCAGCCGGGCTTTCATTACCAGAAAGAGTCGTGATTCTACTCTCCTCGTTTTCGCTGATATTGAAGAGAGTGTTTCCAAACAGCATGCTCTCATTACTAGTACAGGGGAGCAGATACACAAACTACTGCAGGTATATTCATCGTATAATCTCCATGCTGGAGAGATGCTGTGCACACATTGCAAATGTTAACACAACCGATATTCATGTGTATGTTTATTTGGTGTTTAAACTTTTCATTCAACACATAATTTTCAGGAGAACCAGTCTCTCCTCAGTGTGACAGATCTTGACAGCAGTGAGTGGCATGCCTATACTGAGTATGTTGACAGGATGATCCTGGCAGGCTTCACCAGCGCAGTACGCTGCTCTCTGCAGTACCTCATGGACAATACAGATGCAGCTCAGCGTATTACACCTCTGTTTGAAGTCCAGTTGGTTCTCAACAGCAATGAGATGACCTTTGACCCTTCATTAGACTTGAGCCACACTGGTAACTTCTATGATATTGTAGATAAGATGGTGGGCAACATTACAAGCATGGCTTCCCTCATTCCTAGAGTGGCAAGTCACAAACAGCTGAGTAACTACCAGGTACCACACAGATTAGATTATAAATGCGTATACATATACATACATATATTTCCATGTAAACAGACCCTTATCATAAGCAATCTTGATTTCCCATCTTGCAGTGTGACATTAATGAAATGGAGGATTTGTCAGACATGTGCCACATAATCCGCTCACGGGCACGTGCATCTGTCGCTAAGGTTAGTGACATTTCTTTCTGGTCACATGTGGAAGATTATTTTATGAAGTTTACAGGCAAATAGTTGTGAAAGTGTTTATTTACAGGTCAGGGAGTACCAGGCATCATTTTCTAGCTACCGCTACCTCTGGACTGATGACAGGTCAGCTGTGTGTGGCTGTTTCTGATTTGTTTTGATTGTTAGCAAGTACAGAAATAATTTTTGAATTGTCTCATATGTTCACAGGTCTGAATTTATGAGACAGTTCCTACTTTATGGACATGCGTTAAGTACAGAGGAAGCTGAGCTGTATGCCGACTACGAACTAAAAAAGAACCCACCCACCCTGGACAACTTTAAAGAACAAGTGTGTTCAACATTTGTGATCCATTTATGCTGTAACCTTGGTTTATTTCACTCACATTTGGAAAGCAATGCAACAATAATAACTGAATTAGTCATTATTTCAGATCAATCTGTTTGAGTCTCTGTATGTGCGAGTGAGCAAAATGGAGGACCGAAGGGTGTTTTGTGGTTGGCTACAGCTAGATATCAGACCCTTCAAGCACACACTGATGAATGTCATTAAAAAGTGGAGCTGGATGTTCAAAGAGCACCTTCTTAACCACGTGAACCAGAGGTCAGACACATAAAAGTCAAAATAAATAAAACTTTTTTATCATTTAAAAGACATTTTTTAAAGCCAGTCCTCTTAAACCTCACTTCATCTCCCTTCTTCTCTATTTAACAGTGTGAGGGAATTGTCCCAGTTTGTCCAGGACACAGCATGTGGCCTTTCCACCAAGGTGTCAGATGGCGATTATGCAGGCCTTGTGAAAATCATGGGGCACCTCATGGCCATACGAGACAGACAGATCAGTGACGAACAGCACTTCAAACCGCTCAAGTCTACCGCTGAACTTCTAAAGACCTACGGACAGCAGCTTCCAGAGAGTGTCTGCACACAGCTAGAAGTGTGAACCAATTCAAAAACACACATTTTTTCATTTATCATAGACGATATGTACAGTTATCAGTGCTTCTTTCCCACACAACACAGGAGCTGCCGGAAAAGTGGAAAAGTGTCCGAAAAATTGCATTCACGGTCAAACATGAGGTGGCACCACTACAGTCAAATGAGGTTTCAGTTATCCGCAGGAAATGTGTTCGGTTTGAGGTGAGGCTTTGTGTGATTGGGGTAGGATGTCAGTCTGGCAAAGAGCTCAATATCTGACACATAAAACCTCTTTCCTGCATTATATATATGAAACCCACACAGTGTCTGTAAAATGATAGACAGAAAGGTGGAGGCAGATATGCATTAATCCTTAATTTGCTATGATTTCATACTTTAGGTCAAACAGCATGAGTTCAGAGAACAATTTCGTTCAGAGTCAATCTTTAAAATCAGTGTGGAGGAGCCATATAAGCTTATTGATAAGGTGAGCAGGGGGCACATTTCTTTTAGTGTCTGTTAAAGGAGAAATCTTAACAGTACTTCTTTCAAAAGTAGTACACAGTGTGTGATTAAAGAAAATTTAAATAACATATCAAAATCGCCTGCAGTGTAATCGAGGCGTAGCTACGATGGAGATAGAAATGAAGAAGTTGCAGGACACAGCTGATCTGTTTGAGGTCAGCTTCCCAGAATACAAGCAGCTGCGGCAGTGTCGCTCTGACATCATACTTGTCAAAGCAGTATGGGATATGGTCGTCTTTGTAAAGGTACGGTTGAACTCCAGAAAGTTGGGATGGTGTGTAATATGTAAATAAAAACAGGCAGTGATTTACAAATTTACAAATATCATTTTATTCTCTGTTGGACACAGAAAACATTTCATGTCATGAACTGAGGTGTGTGGCAGGCAGAGAGTGGACAGCTTTCTTTAATATCACAGCTTTTATTGTGCTGGCAAAAAAAACAGAAATCAAAAGCTAAATAATGTGGACAGTGATGGGGCTGTAACAAACTAACTAAACAGACTGACAGAGACTACACACACCATGAGGGTAGACCCGACAAAGAACAGAGAGAGATGCAGAGAGTATATAGACAGAAGGGAATTAAGGCAGATTGAACACACCTGTGAACACAGCTGAACAGAATCTAAATAAAGAGACACAAGAAGCAAAACTGAGACAGAGACAGGAGCTCGATGCAGGGACCAGCGCTAAACATACATGGAAACATAACTGACTGGGGAGACAAAAGGATAAAACAGAAGATTATGGGCAGAGGAAAGCATAAACATGAGGAATAGGAAGGAAGACATATTAACTTGGAACGGAGATTGGGAAACCAGGTAGAACCCAGGAAGACCAGAGAGACACAGGAACATGACCAGGGAGACAGAAAGCGTTGAAAACACTGAGATACTGATGACACGACATGTAGATGAGACTAGGGCAGACCAGGCACAGAAAAGGGTACTCACGTAATCAAGAACCACGAAGTAGAAATATAAATAATGACAACTCATAGGCACTAGGAAATACTGAAGTCAGGACTAATACAGAACTAAAACCCTGAAAATCTTTTAATTCAAAAAGAATGAATCGCAAAACAAAACTCAAAATAGATCACAGCAGCATTTCTGGATCATGCTCACATGTGGCCTCTTCTTTGCACGATAGAGCTTTAACCTGTGTTCGTAGATGGCACAGTGAACTACACTCACAGAAAGGGATTTCCGTGTAATAAACATTATTTCAAGTTGAGGAACATTATTCTGAAAGTGTTGCATAATTTCTAAACACTTTATTTACATTTTACACAGCATCCTGCCTTTTTGGAAATACAAATATGCTATTTTTTTTAATACAAGGCAGGGTCTCCATAGTGAGTCACTGCATGCAAAATAATCAAATGATGCACTTAATCTCCTGCAAATCCTAGACCAGTATAGAGGATTGGACAAAGACTCCATGGAAAGAAATCAACGTTGAGCAGATGGACATGGAACTCCGGCGGTTTGCTAAAGTACAGTACAGCACTCTTCTCGGGATAGATACTTGAACTTTGATTCAGTTTAACTGTTTCATGTTTGAAACAAGAGTACCTTTTCAATAACTGTGAGTATGTCTGTTGTCTGTTGAAGGAGATGAAAATGCTGGATAAGGAGGTGCGTGTGTGGGATGTCTATATGGGTCTGGAATCAACAGTGAAAAACCTATTGACCTCTCTGAGAGCTGTCAACGAGCTGCAAAACTCAGCTGTCAGGGAGAGACACTGGCAACAGCTTATGAACACCACTGGGGTAGGGTATCTGTGCTGCTGCTGCTACACAGTCTCTCATACCATCTGCTGTGCCATTTTTCATTTTGTTTGTTTGTCTGTGTGTCAATGAGATTATCCAAAAGTTACAAGTCCAAATTTCATTAAACTTGGTGGCGGAGTGGAGAATGTGTATGAGAACAGCCCATTAAATTTTAGTCCTCATACAGTTTTTTTCTTTAAATTTGTTAGCGCTTTGGTCTTGGCAGAGGACTGCCCCAAGTGCTCTTCTTGTTCAGTAACTTTTCATCAGTTTTACTCATGGTATATTATACTTGCCACTCTGTGGGGGTTAATCCATTCGTTTGGCTGTAGTTTTCATGCAGTGTGCTCTCATTGTTCTGCAGACACTTCTCTGGATTTGATGAACCCAGTTATCTGAAATTTGATCACACCCATAGTCTGCTTTTGTTTTTAAATCTTCAGGTTAGGTTTGTGATGGGTGAGGGCACCACCTTGGGGGACCTGCTGGAATTGCAACTTCATCGTGTGGAGGATGAGGTTAAAAACATAGTAGACAAGGCCGTGAAAGAAATGGCCATTGAGAAGGTAAGACGCCAGACCAACCAGTTACTGTGTGATATATCTTGTAGTAGTGGATTATTGATGGATGGATTATTTAATTACTTAAGCACTCACTAGACTTTCATCATATTCTTAGAACAGATATTTATGAGCAGTTTCAGAAAGCTGAACTCACAAATAATGACACACAAATAGGAATGAGCCAATGTTAACGAACGCTTTAGCTTGTTTTTTGGTTGTCTTTAAATGACAGGCGTCTTTGTGAAGTATCTGTCTTTGGGGTTTTTTTAGGTTTTGGCAGAGATAACCCAGACATGGAGCATTATGTCGCTGTCCTATGAGACTCATGCCAGCACAGGAACCCCTCTGCTCAAAGCAGATGAGAATCTGATAGAGACGCTGGAGGACAACCAGGTGTGCCTGCCTGCTGCAGAATGTGATATGCAGTTTGCTTTATTCTTTCAAATTGCAATATTAACACCCCAGCGATCCATAATATAGTTTTAGTATGAACGGCTTGGGTTTATTACTGACTCCTGAAAGACTAGTTTTATAAATGCATAGGCAATGGGGAATTTAAAAAATGTTCATGCAATTTCAAGAGCAGCTCATCAGGGCTTCTTTGTACAAATTGCCATTTAAAGTTACTGCTTCATTTCTTTTCAGGTGCAGCTGCAGAATATCCTGATGAGTAAGTACATAGAGTATTTCCAGGCAGAAGTAAGTGGATGGCAGAGGAAGCTGATGGTGGCAGACCTTGTCATCTCATCTTGGATGTCTGTCCAGAGGACCTGGGCCCATCTTAACAGCATCTTCACCAACAGCCATGACATCCGCTGCCAGCTGGCCAATGATGCTGAACGCTTTCAGGGAATACACACTGACTTTCAGGTAAATCATACCTCTGCCTACATATAGTGCCATGCTTGGCTACATATTTTTAGCATGTCTTTTTGCATTTCTCCCTTTATTTCCTTTGATTTGTTTGTTTGTTTTAATCAGAGTTTAATGACTGAGGTGGTCCAGAACAGTAATGTAGTAGATGTGACCAACAAGCCTGGCTTCCTGGAGAGCCTTGAGACCTTACAGCAGAGGCTGTCTCTGTGTGAGAAGGCCCTTGCTGAGTACCTGGAGACCAAGAGACTGACATTCCCCAGATTTTATTTTGTCTCTGCCTCCGATCTACTGGAGATTGTGTCTAAGGGAACACAGCCCAGACAGGTGATAGATTACATTTTAATCATGTTTTTCTAGAAAGAATCTATAAAGAGATTGTTAGCACGTTGTGGTTATCTGTACTTTATATACCAACTATATTCCAGTGTTATGGAGTGGAAAAAGTGAAAATGGAAAAACACAATAATGAAAGGCAAAAGAAATCTTTTTTTCTTTTTGATTTGTTATCAGAGATCAGGGTCTGTTAACGTCAGAGCTTTGTTAACATCATAGCCTATAAAACCAAACTCAAAAATAGTCTGTGTGTCTTTTGAATACACATATATATTTTTTTCCAGGTGACCCGACACTTGCTGAAGCTGTTTGACAATATAGCAGATCTTCGCTTCAAGGACTCAGACCGGGCCGAAGGGCGGGGGGAGGAGGGGGAGGCAGTTGCGATAGGGATGTACAGTCGAGAGGGAGAATATGTTTCGTTCTCTGAGCCCTGTGTCTGCGAAGGACAGGTACTGTGAAAACAAAATGCGGTTTCTGTTTGTGGAAGTACATCAGCACCGTTTTATTTGAAAAAATATGATATTGCATGCAATTCATTTTAGAGTTTTTTTCAAACATTTTTATTTTTTTTAATCAGGCAGAGTGTTGGTTAAGTGCTTTAGAAACCACCATGCGCTGTACAGTTCGAAAGGAGATACAGGAAGCTGTAGCTGCCTATGAGGACAAACCCCGAGACCAGTGGCTGTTTGACTACCCTGCCCAGGTCTGTTCATGCAAAGTCTGTAGATTTACAATTTTAACTTTATAAACATGCAAGCTATCTGTTGTACACCTCTGTTTCCCTTCCATCAACAGGTGGGGTTGACTGGTAGTCAGGTGTGGTGGGCGACAGATGTGGGCATTGCTTTTGAGAGGGTGGAGGAAGGATTTGAGACAGCTCTCAAGGACTACAACAAGAAACAGGTACTTCCATAATGTAAGATTTTATTAGGCTGGTAAGTGATCGTAGCATCATTGTATTTGTCAGTGATGTCTGCTGAATTCTGGTTTTCTAGATCACACAGCTCAACTCGCTAATCCACATGCTGCTTGGCGATTTAACCCCTGGAGACAGACAGAAAATTATGACTGTCTGCACTATTGATGTCCATGCTCGAGATGTGGTCGCCAATCTCATTACTCAAAAGGTACTGCGACTATTAGATATTATTTCAAATGAGTTTTGCATTAGTTAGCAGACCATCCTGATGCTGTTGTATGTCTCTAAGGTGACATCAGGACAGGCATTTGCGTGGCTGTCCCAGTTACGGCATCGCTGGGATGAAGAAATGAGACACTGTTACATTAATATCTGTGACGCTCAGTTCCAGTTTAGCTATGAATACCTGGGGAATACAAACAGACTGGTTATCACTCCACTCACTGACAGGTATGTGCACATACATGTTCTCCCATAAGCCAAACCTTTGCAAAAGTATACAGAATGCATACATTAGTAATGATTTGTATTCTAAAGGGAGCGACTTACAGTAAGGGCACGCATAATTACTAGACTTGCTTTGCAACTAAAAACAAGGCCGCTTTACTTTAGCACTAAACATCTTAATGCTACAGTCAAGCTGTGCAGAACGTGATAGTAGGCACCCATGCAAAATGTAAGTGCAAAGATTGAGATAGTTGTTATTTTAGAGTAAAGCACAAATACTAAAATCTTGCATATTTGCTTTTTCTATTCACAATATCCACTATACTCAAATACATTACATCGTTGCTTTAAATCTACATTATTTTCAAATGCACAACTTCATTGAATCCAAATTATCTATTACTTTCTTTCTCCTGTGATTTAATCTCAACCGTACCATGACAGGTGTTACATAACCCTGACCCAGTCCCTCCATCTGACTATGAGTGGTGCTCCGTCAGGCCCAGCTGGCACTGGCAAAACAGAGACTACTAAGGACCTTGGACGCTCCCTGGGTATCATGGTATATGTGTTCAACTGCTCTGAACAGATGGACTACAAGGTAACCTGGACTGCACAGATGTTTCTTCTAGTGCCCGTTAATGTCACATTTATTCTTTTTTTTTTATGTTGTTATTGATATTTATTCCACCATTCAGCCATAGCATCTCATCCTCCAGTCTATAGGTAACATCTATAAGGGCCTGGCTCAGACAGGAGTGTGGGGTTGCTTTGATGAATTCAACCGGATCTCGGTGGACGTTCTGTCTGTGGTAGCTGTGCAAGTCAAGACTATACAGGATGCTGTACGCAACAAAAAACAGAGGTATTATGTGGAAATGATGACATGTATGTTATAGCATCTATACATTTGTCTACTAATCCATTCTATATATTTTCTAAGCATCCATTTAGCAGCATGCACTTGTTGCTGTGTATGTAGGTTTCATTTTCTGGGGGAGGAGATTGAGCTGAAGCCAACAGTAGGAATCTTCATCACTTTGAACCCAGGTTATGCTGGAAGAGCAGAGCTCCCAGAGAACCTCAAGGCTCTATTCAGGTCTGATATGAGACAAAGAGACTTTAGCGTGCAATGAATAGCAGCTATTATATGATTATTTATTGGTTAATTTTCTAAATGCTCAGGCCCTGTGCGATGGTGATCCCAGATTTTGAACTGATCTGTGAGATCATGTTGGTGGCCGAAGGATTCATAGATGCACGGCTACTGGCACGCAAATTCATCAGTCTCTACACTCTTTGTAAAGAGCTGCTATCCAAACAAGTGCGTACATACAAACAATTTGTCTGACTATTTCTTCAGGGGGTTTTCTGATGAGCGGAGGGAAGAAGAGGAATTTAATTTCGCTGTCAATGTTCTTATACGCATCAGAAGTGTGGTCCAGCTTTTATTAAAATGCAAAGTAGTGGTGGTACTATTCATCAGATTATGGTTTTGTGTTTAGGTGTGAAGATTAGTCACCATAATCTTCCTATTTATATTCCAGTTCCTCTGTGTGTGATGTAGTGAATATAGTAAATAATAAAAATATCAACTATTTTTGCTTATACTGTGTAGAGTACTAGCTCTCAGCTTAAACTGGCTGTTTGTGTCCTTCTATTATAACATCAACAAACTTAAATGCTTATTTTGTCAGGATCATTATGATTGGGGTTTGCGGGCTATCAAATCAGTGCTGGTTGTGGCTGGATCTCTGAAGAGAGAGGAGCGTAGCAGACCTGAAGAACAGGTGTGTATCTCTTCGCGATCACTAATGAGAGCTGTTCTTTACACTGAAGTGTTTCAGCTCTCATGGTTGTTTCCAGAAATTTGAGGTTGTCAGAAATTGCCTCATCAAAACTGTGCGTCCAATATTGTCTCACCAGGTGTTGATGCGGGCTCTTAGAGACTTCAACCTTCCTAAGATCGTGACGAGTGATGTTCCCATCTTCCTTGGGTTGATCAGTGACCTCTTTCCACAGCTGGATGTGCCCAGGAAGAGAGACCCAAAGCTAGAAAATGCTGTTCGCCAGTCAGTCAGTGAGCTGCGTCTGCAACCAGAGGAAAATTTCATACTTAAGGTTCATCTGTGTTTTTATTATATAGTATAGTTTATTTGGCAACACCTTTCGTTAGTGGTGGTAACGGTGAACAAACGTTAATTTTAGATTTCTCAGAATTGTAGGAAAAAGAAACACAGTTGTTATAATAAAAATGTCAAAGGATTATTTTCCTTTTTTCCATCATTCTGTGAGCAACCGTGATGTGGTTTTCATACCGTGCATGGCCTGAGTCTGCAGACAGAGCACAGTGAAAGGATCTGTTACCCCGCTGTGAAGCTGGAGGTGTGGAGTCTGTCACCTGCAGCTCTTCATCTGACAGTTCACTGTGGCTGCTCCTCGTTCCATTTTTCCCTGCAGTATTTCCATTTTTTGCAGGGAATAAGGAAATACAGACACACAGTTCATAAAACTTCCAATATATAAACACTAATCAGTTGCCTCCTATTGTGTTCATTCAATTAGTGATTTAATAGACAAAAATCTGTAAAATCTAATTGAAGTATTAAATTAAGTGATAAGCTGCTTCTTTTCCAGTGGCATATGAGCAATGATAGTTAAGGATGAGCTGAAATCAACATGCCAGATCACTTTACAAACACATTCATAAAGTCCTGAGCTACTTTTAACTTGGGGGAAATGCATAATTCCCACAGGTCAATAGAGGAACAATATATAAAGCTTTGTGGTTTGTAACATAAACTAATTGTTAATAATTTTGGTTGTATTTTTTATTGTAAGGTGAGACATCTTTCTGAGTGAACTTGCAGTATTTTAGAGTATTTTTTTCAGAAATCCCACCATTAATGTGATTCCATGTTTGCAGGTGACCCAGCTGGAGGAGCTGCTGGCTGTTAGACATTCTGTATTTGTAGTTGGTGGCCCGGGTACTGGAAAAAGTCAGGTTAACTTAACTAAAGAACATTTTTAAAACTGTTTATGTGTTTTTGGTTTTGTTTTTTAATATCTGTGTGATCCAACTTCTTATACCCAAAATATGCCCAAACATATTAACTAAAACTACTTATATAAATGATCTTGTTTACTTATCAGATCTTGAAGACCCTTCATAGGACTTATGCAAACATGAAGATGAAGCCCTTATGGAATGATATTAACCCTAAAGCTGTTACCACAGATGAGCTGTTTGGATACCTGCACCCTGCTACCAGAGAGTGGAAGGATGGTGAGAAGCAGGAGGATTATACAAAGGATTTAATGTGCAATAAATGATGATCAAGAGAACCAGTTTTTCCTCCAGAATTTGGGTCGCTGTCAAGTCTGATTTATTTTGGTGCCAAGACCATAATTTATTCCAAAGCCTCCTCTCAGAAATAATTAGAAAGTTAATGCACTTTTTCTATTTCACAGCCCACTCCTGTTTAAATAGGTTTCGTGTGCAATATTTTCATTACCAGTTCATTTCACAATTTTGCATTCAATACCTTTTTTGCTGCAGTGATGGTTTAGTATGTAAAAATGGATTTACCATGTGTCACTGTTTCCTTTTACAGGTCTGTTCTCCTCTACCATGAGAGAGCTGGCCTCGGTGGGCCATGATGGACCCAAATGGATAGTTCTGGATGGGGATATTGACCCTATGTGGATTGAGTCACTCAACACAGTTATGGATGACAATAAAGTAAAAGATCATCTCTATGTTTTTTTTGTCTTTCATCCAGGAGTTTGAATGTCTCCAAATAAGTAATCAATTTCTGCCAATGCCAGTCATTAAGTTAGTGCATACTTTATATTTTTGAACCAGTGCTTGAGCTCCACTCCTTCTGCTTTTCCCTCCACATCCAGGTTCTGACACTTGCCAGTAACGAGAGGATCGGCTTGTCCTCGTCCATGCGTCTTCTCTTTGAGATCTCTCATCTGAAGGCTGCTACTCCAGCTACAGTGTCAAGGGCAGGAATACTCTATGTCAACCCACAGGACTTGGGTTGGAGCTCGTAAGACACACACAATGCTTAAATGCACGCATAAAATCACAGTCTTCTGTTTCTTTGATTTTCTTAAGGTTATCTTGGTTAGCAGAGCTGCCTTTACTGTGTTTTCAGTTATGTGACAAGTTGGATCGACACACGGCAAGCCCAGTCAGAGCGAGCCAACCTCACTATTTTGTTTGATAAGTACGTGCCATACTGTCTGGAACAAGTTCGCTGCAACCTGAAAACCATCACACCCATTCCAGAAAACAGCATGGTGCAGGTACATGTAGGGTTTTATGGATATCAAATGCAGCCTGCAGAGCCATAATATTATATTTTTCTGTTGTTATTGTTCAGTCACATGCAGCATTTCTGTGTTTTGCTCAATCAGACATTGTGCTCGTTGTTGGACTGCTTGCTGATTGAGGACAACACTCCAGCCGATTCTCCCAGAGAACTCTATGAGATCTACTTTGTCTTTGCCTGCGTCTGGGCTTTTGGAGGCGCTCTCTTTCAAGATCATGTGTGCAGTGACTAACTGTTCCTTCTAATCGTATCAGATAATTCACATTATTATACCATATAATGACAGTGTTTTTACCTTTATAGCTCAATGACTACCGTGCTGAATTTAGCCGCTGGTGGTCCAAAGAGATGAGAGCCGTAAAGTTTCCCTCACAAGGGACAGTCTTTGACTATTTCATTGACCCTGAGACTAAAAAGTTTACTCCGTGGAGTGAGAAGATGGTGCCATTTGAGCTGGAGCCTGATATTCCGTTACAGGTATGTTATTAGACTAATGAATGCGTGTGGTTGTCTACAGCAGGCCAGAGTGTCCTTTATAATTATAACATGTTGATTTAGATCTCTCAGCACGCTCATCCACTGTCTGTTTCAGACGGTGCTTGTCCACACTCCAGAGACCATCTGTCTCACCTACTTCATGGACCTTCTGCTTCAGAGAGGCAAACCTATCATGTTAGTGGGCAATGCAGGAGTGGGAAAAACTATTCTGGTGTCTGATAAAGTCGCTAAGCTGAAGGAGGATTACATAGTAGCAAAAGTTCCCTTCAACTACTACACTACATCTGCCATGCTGCAGCGTAAGAGTCTCTGAAACGAGCATACACAAACAGATTTTTTCACATGTGTATTTTTTATTAATTGAACAAATTGTATAATACATATAATAATCTAATAATTAGGGAAATATAATAAGACAAATCGAATAATCTGAAAAAAGGCTTCTAATGAGATATGTGTGCTTCCTGTCTATGCATTGTGTTATTGTGGTAGTATCTAATTGTGTTTGCCTATTCATACTGATTGAATGGCACAGGCTTCATAAAAAAAAAATTCTGAGTTTCCCTGTATCTTCAATTCTTTTTTCCTTCAAATTTCAGTTCAGATTTTCAGTCAGTGAGTTTCTGTGAAGACTGTTGTCACTTTGTCATTTTCCTAAACTTGTGTATTAAATGTACTCCAGGCATCTTGGAGAAACCTCTAGAGAAGAAAGCTGGTCGTAAATTTGGCCCTCCCACCGCCAAGAGACTTATCTACTTCATAGATGACCTCAACATGCCTGAGGTGGATGTTTATGGGACTGTCCAGCCACACACCCTCATCCGCCAGCACCTTGATTACAGCCACTGGTAGGATAAGACGCACGTGATGGACTCGCATATTTATACTGATTTCATACTGCCAAAGTGTACAAATACACATATATACTCTGTACACAACTGTTACAGAGTTTAGTGCTTAGTGTGAATTTTAACCAACAGATCTTTGTACTGTAGGTATGACAGACAGCGGCTGGTTTTGAAAGAAATCCATAACTGCCAGTATATCACCTGTATGAACCCAACAGCTGGAAGCTTCTCTATCAACCCCAGACTGCAGGTACTGCCACACATTTGCAAGTTCTTTATGCGTAAATTTTATTTGTTCATAAATGTTATTATCAAAATTCTCCTATCTACTGAAACTATACTCGATCACTATGGCTTTGTACATAATTTCATTGAATACTTATTTAGAAAAATTTGTTTCAAAGGGAACCATGTTTATGTTTTCCTTTGAAACACAAAAGAAAAACAGCCAAAGACAGGCAGGAAACTTTTTTTGGCTAATAAGAAAAATTTAAAGGTAGTTCAGAATGCAGCTTTCTCAGTTTAAGTGGGTCCAGCCACAGATTACTGTTGGTAAAATCTTTACTGCCTCCATTTAAGAGGCATTTCTCAGTGTTTGCAGTGCATTTCCCCGGTGCTGATGCATTAGCTACCATCTTCTCCAGCATCTTGTCAGCTCACTTTCTTCAGGGAGGATTTAGCTACGGGGTCTCTCGCTCAGTTGGAACTCTCATTCAGGTACTGTACACTTACACTGCCAGTGCAGCATTCATTTCTATTAAAACTTGACTTGAGACAACATTTATCTGTTTCTGTGTCACTATCTTTTGATTCTCCTCAAACAGGCAGCTATCTGCCTGCACCAGAAAATTAGCCAGAACTTTCTTCCTACAGCCATACGCTTCCACTATATCTTCAATCTGCGAGACCTTTCCAACATATTTCAGGTAACACACTTTGCTCAGTCATCCAGAAAAAAATAAAAACATAAAAATATAACTGAAATAATACTTACTTCTGTTGAAGATCTTTTCCTTGAACTGCTTAAAAGGATGCTGTTGACTCCTTTTTTCACTCGTGGTAGCAAATACGAAAACGTCATATGAATCCATTTGCAAAACTGTCATTGGTGGCAGCTTGCTTTAGATTTGACTTTTGTAGGAATGTTAATCCTGAAAAACTGAAAATTCTGGTGTCAAAAGTTCTCTCGTGGAATAGTTATGTGTTTATTAATACGATTTCTGTATAGGGCATCCTGTTTGCCTTGCCAGAAAGCATCCGTTACCCCATGGACCTGGTCCACCTGTGGCTGCATGAGAGCTCCAGGGTCTACTCAGACAAACTGATGGAAGAAAAAGATGTAGAACTCTTTGATAAAATCCTGTTGGACACTGGCAAGAGATATTTTGAAGTAAGACATGGGCGATTCAAATTGCAACCTTAATCTTAAAAATCTTTCAAAATGTAAGAAGTATGGCAGAAGTGATGCTTTTGGTATTTAGTATTAAAGTCAGCTATGGCATGTTAAGTATTTTCTTGTTTGTTTGTCCTGCCAACCTCTCCAGGGAATAGATGAGTCCATCTTTATCCACCAGCCTTTGGTGTACTGCCACTTTGCCCAGGGAGTGGGAGAGCCTCGCTATCACCAGGTCTGACAGATTCATACATACACAAGCTTGTCTGCACTCCAAGTTCTTGATGGAGCTTAAAATAAGAATTAAGAGTGTAGCCAAATACGTTATGGGAGTTTAATTGCTCATTACTTGAATCTGTACTGTAGCATATTTATTTAGTGGCCTCCAGATGTGTCGTATCTGCTCTGACAGAAACCAGAAATGAGGATGACTGTATTGTCGCTAGCAAAAAGATTGCCTGTCTTTGATATGTGTGTGGCAACTTAGTTTCATTGTATATGGAATTTACCACGTAGACACGGGTTAGTGCTGGCTTTCCTCAAGAGAGACAAGTTTATTTGTTTTATTTCTCCTTTCTTGTCAGGCTTCAGACTGGGAGAAGCTCCAGAAGACATTGGCTGATGCTCTAGAGCACTATAATGAGTTGCACGCTGTCATGGACTTGGTACTGTTTGAAGAAGCGATCCAGCATGTGTAAGAGACACACACAGACACAAACTAACATGCACAAAGAAGAATTTACAAAGTAAATGTAAACCACAGGCAAGAAACATACCATCAGTTCTGTGTTTGTACCCAGGTGTCGCATCAGTCGTATACTGGAGGCCCCCTATGGTAATGCCCTGCTGGTTGGGGTTGGTGGGAGTGGGAAGCAGAGCCTGTGTCGACTGGCTGCTTTCCTCAGCATGCTGGAGGTTTTCCAGATCACACTGCGTAAAGGTTATGGAATCAATGACCTCAAAGTAAATATGCACTTCCACATGCAAAACACGGTTGTATATCATAACACATCTGTTTTGAATGATTTGGGATATTTTTTTTCCCTGCTTTGTGTTTGCTGCAACCCTTGTCTGCAGAGTGACATAGCTGCATTGTATATAAAGGTGGGGGTGAAGAATATTGGGACAGTGTTTCTTCACACAGATGCCCAGATTCCAGATGAGCGCTTCCTGGTGCTGATCAACGACATGCTGGCCTCAGGTTTGGATACACAGACCGGAACTGAGATAACTGAGATTTCTGCTTTAATAGCTGTCAGATCTAAGAAATGAATGTCATTTCTGCAAAAACTATTTTTGGATGGTGTCAGTGGCTTTGAGAGCATAGAGTTGTGCATTTGAATAGATAGCAAAGAAGGCTCATTTGGTCACATAGACCTGCTCCAAGTAAGAGTGACTATATAAGAAAGAACAAATACACAGTGAGCTCGCATTCTTTGCATTTGTAGGGGATATTCCTGACCTTTTTAGTGATGAAGAAGCAGATATGATTGTTTCATCAATCCGTATGGAGCTGAGGGGATTAGGACTCATAGATACCAGAGACAACTGCTGGAGCTTTTTCATCGAAAGGATACGAAGACAGCTCAAGGTCTATAATGCAAACCATGTAGAAACCATGATGTAATGATTAGTGTTGATAGTCATCTCACCTTCTCCTTTTGTCACCCTTTCTGCCCTCCAGGTCGTCTTATGTTTCTCTCCAGTTGGATTCACGTTAAGGACACGTGCACGGAAGTTTCCAGCCCTAGTAAACTGTACAGCCATAAACTGGTTCCACTCTTGGCCTCAGCTTGCTCTGCAGTCCGTCAGCTCTACTTTCATAGAGAAAATACCTGGACTGGAGGTGCTTCTTGTTTAAATTCTGTGATACAATCTAAAGCTGCTTTTAAAAGTACTAACTCTGATGCTGATTATGCAAGTGTTTCAAATAGTAGATACCTAATAAGCATAAATAGGAACTAAAATAACTTTTAACGTAGACACATGTCTATAGCTACTTTTATGTGAATAAATCAAATAAGAAGGTTGTTCTTACTCTCTCAGTGAAGTGAGTCAATGTGTGTGTTCATACTGTGCAGCCAAATGTGAGAGCATCTATCAGTGAGTTCATCTCCTACGCTCACACGAGTGTCAATGAGGTAAGAGCTGCTGCACAGCACTGCGAGCGATGACCTCTCTTGATGTCTTCTTTGATACGATTTCTTGGTTTCCTTGTTGTGAATTCACCTCACAGGTGAGTGTCAAATACCAGCAGAATGAGAAGCACTTCAACTATACCACGCCAAAGAGTTTCCTAGAGTTTATGAAGTTGTACGACAACCTGTTGAGAAAGAAACGCACAGAGCTGACTCAGAAGATGGAAAGATTAGAGAATGGACTTCAAAAACTGCTGACTACCGCGTCACAGGTCAGGGGGGAAAAAACACCACATTGCACCAGTGTATACAAAAGTTTGTGTTTCTTGTTCTTACTTTTTTTTTTCTTTAGGTGGAGGACCTCAAAGCCAAGTTAGCAGTGCAGGAGGTAGAGCTGTGGCAGAGAAACACAGATATCGAAGCCCTCATTGCTAAAATAGGACAACAGACAGACAAGCTCAACCAAGAGAGAGCTGTAGCTGACGGTGAGGAGCAGAGGGTAAGAGTGTGATTCTAGGGCCTCTCGAGCAGCAAAATGACAGACTTAACGCCATGTATTTTCAGAATTACTGCACATTTTGAGGTTCATTTTAAACCACTTTGTCAATGAGAGGGCCATTAGAGAAGAGAGGGCAGAGAAGTAATAACATAGGTCTGAAACAAGCCAAACTTTCAGCAATCCATTCACAGCATACACACACACACGCGTGTTGTATTTTTGTGATTCAGGTGGCAGCAATCCAAGCTAAAGTGACCAAACAGCAACAGGAGACTGAAGAGGACTTGGCGAAGGCTGAACCTGCCCTACAGGCAGCCAACACAGCTCTCAATACACTCAACAGAGTAAAACACTTGCACACACATAAAGTTTTACTTCATTTCATTCGATTTATTTTATGAGTCCATTGCAAGCATAAAAGAAATCTAATAAAGTTGTCCTGAGCTCAGGCCCCTGATTAAAAATGTGGGCGTTTGTGCATTCGTGTGCATCTGTTTGATCTAGTTAAACCTGACAGAGCTGAGGACGTTTCCCAACCCTCCAGCCATCGTCACCAACGTCTCAGCAGCTGTTCTAGTGCTACTGGCTCCTCAAGGCCGAATCCCCAAAGATCGCAGCTGGAAAGCTTCCAAGGTGGTCATGAGCAAGGTGATACGATTTTTAGGTTTTAGTTTTCCTTCATTTAATGGCTTGAGACCGCCAAAGTAAATCCATTTTAGGTTAATGTTATGGTAGATCTGGCGACCTGTCCGTGTACTGTATGTAACCTTTCATATGAAAGTTAGGATAGGCTCCAGTCCCCCTGCAAACCCGAACTGGATACACTATTAGAAAAATAAATGGATGAATGAAAACCAAAAAACGAATACAGAACCAAAAAAAAAATCTCTCTAATCATCTGAGATAAAAAAAATATTTAACATTTAAAACACGACCTTCTCTTTTAGTCTTCATCCTTGCACAACTCTAATTTAATATTGATTGCGACTGCAGTTATTTTGTTGTGTGACTGTTGGCACTTTTCAATCTGATATACTTTATACTTTGATGAACCCATTCATATTTAATTTTTGTAACATAGGTTCTTTCATATTGTTAATACCTCCTGTGTTGTTGATACCGCCTTGCCTCAAAAACTCTTTTTTTTAAAGAGAGGTTTAACCTGTGAGGAACTATGCTGGTTGAAAAAAGTAACAACTAAAGCAATGTTCACACTCTGTAGATCAGATATGGGTTTTTTTAGTTAATTCTACTTTTTGACTCAGGATTTAGAATTCAAAAATGTTGAAAAAGATTTTGTTAATTTGAAACCCTTTGATCTAACGCGCACCCGTTTGCACACAAATGCTTGTGCAGGTGGATGACTTCCTGCAGGCTCTGGTAAACTTTGACAAAGAGAACATCCCCGAGGCCACGGTGAGGTGTGTGAGAGATGAGTACCTCAGTGACCCAGAGTTCAACCCTGACTTTGTAAAACAGAAATCCTCTGCTGCTGCGGGCCTTTGTGCATGGGTGATCAACATCATCCGCTTCCACGAGGTACACATCTAAACCATCTGCCACATATATTTAGTGTCATCCAAGCTAATCCATTTGCTATATTTTTTTCTGTGTAAAACACTTTGAGTTTGTTGTTTGATTTGTTTTTTTTGCCTTTTTCCCCAAAACTTGTGCTGCCTTGGATAGATTTTTGTAAGTTCATCTCTTCTCTTATTTCTTTATTATAGGATGTTCCTTATAACAAAGGTTATACTGTACTTTAGTTTCAGCTGTAAGGATGTTCTTGTTTCCAGGTGCTCTGCGAGGTAGAGATGAAGAGAATGTGTCTGACTCAGGCTAACGCTGATTTGGCTGAGGCTGCTGAGAAGCTAGACGCCCTGCGGAAAAAACTAGCTGTACGTCTGTTTAAATTGGACAGATTGGATTATTTGGTGCTTGACAACAAAATTAATTAGTTATTTGCAAATGCCAGCATTCATAATATTTTCATCTGTTCCTTTTTCTCCTTTCTCAGGAGCTGGATAGCAGTCTGGAAACTCTGAAAATAGCTTTTGAGAAGGCAACATCAGAGAAACTTCGCTTTCAGGAAGAGGTCAACCGCACAAATAAGACAATAGAGCTAGCTAATCGGCTGGTCAAAGGACTAGAGGTAAGTATACAGTGCTGTGCAAAAGACTTAAACCACCTCTCATTTCTTTATATTCTGCTGGGGAAAAAGGGAAATGGATTCAGTGATTTACTTAAAAATGTTCTGACCTACATGGAAATACAGTATAGGCAAAAACAGACTTTGCCTGCTATGACTACCTTTATTGTGCAACACAGCCTAAACTCTCTCAAGAAGCTCCAGTAGTCTTCAGGAAAAGCTCTCCAGGCAGCTTGAAGGACATTGAAAGCGCTTCTTTGCATGTTGACTGACTGTTGTTCTGTTGTGTCCAGATGATCCCACACTGCTTCAATAATGTTGATGTCCAGGCTCTGATAGTGTTAATTGTGCGTTTTTCTATCCATTTATGCTTTTACTGCATATGAAGTGCATTGAGGATTATTGTCACGCTGAGGAATTAAGTAATCATTTGAACCACAAATGTGACATTTGTATTCATGACTCCATCAGACCTGTTGTCACTGATTTTCAGTCCAGTTCTTGTGTATTTGTCATACCTCAGTCTTTTCCCCCAGTTTCCCCTCTTTAATAAAGGGAACCTCTTAGTCTCAGCGACCCCTCCACTGAGACTATTTCTGAATACACTTCAAGGAACAGTTCATTTAAGGGCTAGATGCATCTCTCGGATCCTGTGTCATTGTTTCTGTGTTTTGTGTCTTTGTTAAATTTTTTCTTATTTCTTGAGGACACTGTTCAGATACTGTTCATGTGCTTTAGATTGTTTTTTTTTTAATGCCTGCCACTTCTTTTGCCCTCCACTTGCCAGGTTTCCCTCAAATTTTTTAGGGACATACTACACACCATGCTGCTGCCAGTTTTTGGGGCTAATAGCTCTAATACTATTTTATTCCTGTCAAACTGTGTTATCTTTGCATTTTTGGTAGATTTAACTGAAGACATAAAAACAAATTATGTGTTTTTGTAGGCTGCTAGTAACAACAAACCTAAGGATTCAAAAGCAGCCAATATCCAAAGAAAAAATTTGAAAGACCTTCAGAAATCCTGGGTTACTATTGCTCAAGACCATTTTAAAAAACTGTCTGAGTGTTACACAGAGCAGTGTCTGTGTCTGTGTGTGTTTTTCAGAGTGAGAACGTGCGCTGGGCTCACTCAGTGGCTCAGTACCATGAGCAGGAGGAAACGCTTTGTGGGGACGTCCTTCTAACCGCAGCCTTCATCTCTTATGCCGGATCCTTCTCAAAGAAGTACAGGAAAGAGCTGCTGGACAACCTCTGGATGCCGTTCCTACACAGCCAGAAGGTTTAAAATCTTAAAACACTGAGATATTTCTTTTAGTTTTCTTCTGCAAATGCAGTTATTCCCTCCAGTATCTTTGCCGTTCCACAACAGATTGTGTCTTATTTCTCTATGAACACACACCACTGTTTCTATCAGATGTCCATTCCCATGACGGAGGGCTTAGATCCAGTGTTGATGTTGACTGATGATGCAATGGTTGCCCAGTGGAACAATGAAGGCTTACCAGGAGACAAAATGTCTACCCAGAATGCCACCATACTTACTAACTGTGAGTGGAGTTTTTCACTTAGTGTAACTGGCTTTTTATAACAAACATTACAAACGCTACGGTACTAGGTTTTCTTCTTAGCACATCTCCGTGTATAAATAAGGAGTTTATTGTTGCAGGTGAGCGCTGGCCTCTCCTTATCGACCCTCAGCTGCAGGGCATCAAATGGATTAAGAGTCGCTATGGTAACAGCCTCAAGGTTGTCAGTCTGGGGCAGAGAGGGTGAGCGTTTCCTTTGTTGATGCTTGCTTGAGGCCTCGAGGATGTGTAAATTTGTTTAGTAGCAATTCAGAAATAATAACAGTGCTACAATTTCTACAGTTTTTATAAATTAATCTTAAATGTTGTTCCAGATATGTAGATGTTATTGAACAGGCTGTAGTGGCAGGCGACACTGTCCTCATCGAGAACCTCGAGGAGACCATTGACCCCGTTATTGACCCCCTTCTGGGTCGACACACAATCAAGAAGGGCAGGTAACACACAGAATTGCTGTGATCGAGTTTTTCTCCTTTCTGCAGATGCTTTAAGAACTGGACTAAATTTGTAGATGCAGTTATTTTGGGTTCAGGGTAACAACATTTCCACACAGATATTAGTGAATGAAGCCCAATTTAAGGGAAAGCTTTTTCCTTGAAGAATTACTGCATTACTTGGTTAAGTACTCACCTAGCCATCAGGGCAGATAGTAGCAGATAAGGACACAGAAAAACAAAAGCCCCGTAAAAACAAAATCTGCCAGTAAAGTACAAAAAAAGATGTTGTTATAGATTAAACGTGACCTAGAAAAGAAACTGTAAGACTCCAGGAGAATTCAATCAATTTTCACATATTTATTAAAAAATGAACACATGAACAGAGCTGATGTGTTTCATCAGAAATATATTGATCTATGTTCAGTCCTGTCTGTAGGGTTTTGTGAACCTTTCAATACATGTTTACACGTTGAAAGCAGACAAGGTGGTATAAGGGTTATGGATCAGAAGGAAGAAGAAGTGGGTAAATTCAGAAGGAGAAAATGGTTAGGAGGCTGGTGGGGGTGGGATGGTAGAGAGTGGGTAAAGAGAGAGGATAATTGGAAGGGTGGGTGGGGGGGTCTAAGGAGGTATGGGGGAAAGTGGGTAAGGTAGAAAGGGGTAGGGGTGGGGTATAAGGAAGTAAGGATCTCATCACTTATCCACAACTTGCTCATCAATGCCACTTTTCCATGTATCGAAGATCATTCACTTGACACTGGGTTCATTCATTTTATCATGCTCTACTCTCTTCTTCTTCCTTGCTACTACGCTGCTACAGTTGTATAAAGGTTGGAGACAAAGAGTGTTTCTTCCACCCAGCCTTCAGACTGATTCTCCACACTAAGCTGGCTAGTCCTCACTATAAGCCTGAGATTCAAGCCCAGACCACCCTCATTAATTTCACAGTGACCAGAGATGGATTGGAGGACCAGCTCCTGGCCCAGGTGGTGAATCAAGAGAGGCCAGACCTTGAGCAGCTTAAGGTAGAGTGGAACAGTTGATGGAGTTCTCTGTTGATGAGTCTGTCCTTTTTGTACTGCCTGTCCGGGTCCGGCAGTCTAAGAGTTTAAGAAAAGTTAAGGCCTTCCTCTCCCCAACCACTGCCTTTTGCTTCACAAGGGGGCAGCATGCAATCTCCCACTTAATGCCTTCCTCTCTTGTGTACAAGATCCGGGTTACCTGAACTCGATTTGCTGTTTGTTATTTAGCTGTCCCAGTGCATGTTGGAGTTCATCGTTTAATGAGGCCAGCTGGCATTATTTCATCTCTGTTGCAGGTTTTGGTTTTCATCATTCTGGTTCCATTTATGCTTCTTTTTATATATTTGCATCGTCTTCCTACAGAGTGAACTGACAAAGCAGCAGAACATGTTTAAGATTGAGCTGAAGCTTCTGGAGGACGAGCTGCTAACCCGGCTGTCTGCTGCAGAGAGTAACTTCCTTGGTGACAATGTGCTGGTGGAGAAGCTTGAGACCACAAAGCACACTGCTGCTGAGATTGAGATGAAGGTATCGGGTTACATGTCTGCGTTGTTGCAGTAAAATGAATGGTTAACCTACTTTTTTACTCCCTTTCATATTTTTTCTTTTTTCTGTCATCTCTCATTCGCAGGTTCTGGAAGCAAAAGTTAACGAAGTAAAGATAAACGAGGCCAGAGAGCACTATCGCCCTGTTGCTGTCAGAGCTTCTCTGCTCTACTTTATCATGAATGATCTTAACAAGATCAACCCCATGTACCAGTTCAGCCTCAAGGTAACCAGAAGCAAATATAGGACCTGACCACAACCTAGGAACCAACAACTGAATTTAACATAAGATGTAAAATATCCAAATTTATGTGAATACATCCTACGAATTGATTTGTCCTTTTGTTCTCAGGCCTTTAACGTTGTTTTCCACAAAGCAGTGGAGCTGGCAGAAGCCTGTGACGACGTAAAGAGCAGAGTAAACACTCTCATAGACTGTGTTACATACTCCACCTTCAACTACATCAGCAGGGGACTATTTGAGAGAGACAAGCTCACCTTTACGGCACAGCTGGCCTTCCAGGTGTGTGTTTGTTTGTGGAAGGGTTAGACAAAGACTGTGTTTGTCCCTGACTGTGTTCTCCCTATTTCAGTTGCTCCTGATGAGTAAGGAGATAGTTGTGAGAGAGTTGGACTTCTTGCTGCGTTTTAACATTGACCACAGCTACATCAGCCCCCTTGACTTTCTTTCCAACTCGGCCTGGAGCGCTATCAAGGTTCACAGGCACATACACGCAGCATTTATTTTTGTTGGCATTTGAATTGCAATGCAAATCAAAAACTGCTCTCTCTCTTGTATCGGTCCAGGTTATGAGTTTCACTGATGAGTTTCGTGGTCTGGATCGAGATATTGAAGGTTCACCCAAGCGCTGGAAGAAGCTGGTGGAGTCAGAGTGTCCTGAGAAGGAGAAGTTTCCTCAGGAGTGGAAGGGAAAAAGCTCGCTGCAGAAACTGATCATGATGAGAGCCCTGAGGCCTGACCGTATGACCTATGCTCTAAGGTGATGAGGATTTGTTTTCCTGCTTGTTTAACTGTGTTTTTGTCTTTTCTATTTTTTAAGTGTATTTCCATATAAGGACTATTAAAAGCTGTGTTTGTTCATTCGTTTATGTCAATATAACCCGACTCTAGGAACTTTGTTGAAGAGAAGCTCGGTGTGAAGTATACAGAGGGACGAAAGACTGAATTTGCAAAGTCCTTTAGAGAAAGTGGTCCTTCCTCCCCTATTTTCTTCATCCTCTCCCCAGGAGTGGACCCACTTAAAGATGTCGAATCGCTAGGTACTGTTCAGAAAGCTGCATGCATCCAAACCCTGATCGCATACTGTAATGTGTTGATTTATTAATAATTTAAGTGTTGCTTTACAATTCAATGACAACCTAAAAGAGTGTTAAGGGTAGCACATAAAAAAAATCAGTCCTTTGTTTTCCCAGGAAGGAAGCTGGGTTTCACTATTGACCTTGGGAAGCTTCACAATGTCTCCCTGGGTCAAGGACAGGAAACTGTGGCTGAACTCGCCATGGAAAAGGCCGCTAAGGAGGGTCACTGGGTTATATTGCAGGTCCAGTTAAAAGAAACACATTTTCTTATGTTAGAATGGGGATAATCTGAAAAAGAAATCAGCATGACAGTGCCTGTGGAGTATGCTACAGTTATTGAGCTTTGATTATGTGTTTCCATTTCCCTGCAGAACATCCATCTGGTTGCTCGCTGGCTGGGTGCGCTTGAGAAGCTCCTGGAGCGCTGCTGTGAAGACAGCCATCCAGACTACAGAGTGTTTATGAGCGCTGAGCCGGCATCTACGGCCCAAGAACACATTATCCCACAGGTAAAGATTCAGCAAGCATGCAAGAAAAGTCACACTTTAATGTAACATCTACATAAGGAATTTATTCTCCCAGCTGTCTTAACCTATACCAGCATTGCATTCATTGAATTACAGTTGAACACTTTAACAGTGACATGAACGTTCTATTTTTTTTTTTTACTCAGGGAATTCTGGAAAATGCTATAAAGATCACCAATGAACCTCCTACAGGCATGCATGCTAATCTACATGCTGCTTTGGATAACTTTGACCAGGTGATTTATTTTTTTCTTTCCTTGTGTTCTTTGTGCATTTGTTTTGATTTATTTATCAATTCACTTATTGCTTTGCCCTCTCTCCAGGACATCCTGGATCAGTGCAGCCGTGAGCAGGAGTTTAAGACCATCCTGTTTTCTCTCTGTTACTTTCACGCCTGTGTGGCGGAGAGGAGGAAGTTTGGGCCCCAGGGTTGGAACAGAAAGTATCCATTCAGCACTGGAGATCTGACTATATCAGTTAATGTCCTTTACAATTACCTGGAGGCTAATGCACAGGTGGGTTTTGTTGTTGTTGTGGATAGGAAGCATGGTGTATAACTGGATGACCGAAACACTGATGTATGAGGTTGTCAGTGGTGCTGCGAGTGACTGTGCCACAGGCGAATTAGGGTTGTGATTGCTTTGGCAGTGATTTTTATAATTATGATGACACAGGTGCCATGGGAGGACCTGAGGTATTTGTTTGGGGAAATCATGTATGGAGGACACATCACTGATGACTGGGACAGACGCCTCTGCAGAACTTATCTGGAAGAATACATGCAGCCCAACCAGGTTTGTGTGTGTGACAGTAAAAGTAAACATGGACGTAGTGTGCCAGCAAACCTGGCTGTGTTCTGCAGAAAAAGAACAGGCTTCTCCGCAGGCATTATATGGTAGCCAAATGTAACTGCTCTTCTTGTGCAGACTTGGACCATTTTGGGTTGAAAATCAGCTCCAGTTAGAGCAGATTGACTACTTTTTTTTTTACTATAGACTGTCCATAAAAGCTAAAAAAAATACTGGCATGAGTTCCTGGCAACCAGTTGCACCAGACCGAGGGAATTTTGCCGTCTGGGTTTGGAATAATTTTATGTTTTGTACAGTATGTGAGTCCCACAGCTAACAATACTTCTCTCTGTTTTGTGTCTCCTAGTTTGACCGGAAGCTTGCATTGGCACCGGGATTTGTCATTCCCTCCAACCTGGATTATCAGGTAAATTAAATCCAGTAGTTTTTATTAAAGTTTACTTTACATTATTGTACCTTAAACCCTGAAAAAATATTGTCATGTAAATGAATATTAAAGGCCAGTTTTCATACTAAATAATTCTGACTGTACAGCTCATTAAATGAATATGTTACTCTGCATCTCCAGGGCTACCATGATTTCATAGATGAGATGCTGCCCCATGAGAGCCCAGTGCACTATGGGTTGCATCCCAATGCAGAAATTGAGTTCCTGACAGTGACATCAGATAACCTTTTTCACACTCTGCTGGAGCTGCAGTCCCCTGATGTTGTGATTGGAGAGGGAGCCTCACAAACACTAGAAGAGAAGGTAGATGTACAGGGTTTTTTTCTTGGAAGGTATAAAAAGACAATTATAGATCAAAACCAGTGACCAGTGAAGTCATAAAACAGATAAAAAGTACAGAAACAGATACATTCACTCCTCTAATGTTTAAATTATTCACAGTAGGAACACAGTTAGCCCGCTTCTCTAATTCTAGGAGAACCAAGATAGAAATGAGCAAACCAGTAAATCCAACATCTTGGACTGACTATATACTTGCTCTACACACATCCAGGTGAAATCAATTTTAGATGAAGTTCTGGAAAAGCTGCCAGAGGTATACAACATGACCGACATCACTTCCAAGACAGCTGAACGATCGCCATACATCCTGGTGTGCTTCCAGGAATGTGAGCGCATGAACACACTCATTTATGAGATACGCCGCTCGCTGAAGGAGCTTGACCTTGGACTCAAGGTATGCTTGACACCTTTGTGTGTTTGAATGGGTATTTACAGTAGAAGTAGAAAACTAGTCTGGATAATATATAAACACAGAAGCCATCACAGCACAGACTGTCATCACAGCAGAGTGTGTGTCAAACAAATGATGTAAGGATGAAAAGAAGCCTGCATCAGGAGAAATCAGAGAAGCTTTTGCTCTTTATGCAAAAATGTGTTCAGCTGAGTTTCTGACAGTATTTACACTGCTGCTTTAGAGGTCACGTGTTAATGTCTCACTGATGTTAAATTACTACATGCATAAATTCTGATCTGTGCGGTTATACTGTTGCTCTCTCAAAGGGTGAACTGGCCATGTCCTCTGAGATGGAGAAGCTACAGGCAGCCTTGTTCTTTGACAACGTCCCAGATAGCTGGACCAAGCTTGCCTACCCCTCAACTTACAGCCTGGCAATATGGTGTGTTTTTCTTTCTCCAGGGGATGGATTTCCCAAATCTTATATAAGACTCTGCATTTAATTTCAGCTGATGCAATTTTGCATAATGTGCAAGGGAATCAAATAAGCCAAGGTATTGTACTGTTATACATTTCATATAGTGAAGAGTTGAGTTACAGTGCCCTATATAGTTTCCACATGACTGACATCATCCAAACAGCTGTCTCGGTCTATTTCCTTTCATTTGATGTCAGGTATAATGACGTGATGCAGCGTTGCAAAGAACTTGACAGCTGGACTCAGGACCTGTCTCTGCCCAGTGTTGTCTGGCTGTCTGGGCTGTTCAACCCACAGTCCTTTCTCACTGGTAAAATTCATTTACAGCATATAGAAAATTTGTACTAATACATTGACTTCTAACCAATTCTTAGTTATTTCATCGTGTCCTTGCATTCCAGCTGTGATGCAGTCTCTGGCACGTAAGAATGAGTGGCCTCTTGATAAAGTGAATCTGACAGTGGATGTGACCAAGAAGTTTAAAGAAGAGTTCAACCAACCGGCCAGGGAGGGTGCATATGTGTATGGACTTTATATGGAAGGTAGAAACACTGCCACTTATTTTCTGCTTATTGTGGTGCAGCTTGCAGAACCACAGGCCACTTCTTTGTGCATAATTCTCCTTGTCTGTGTTTTAGTTCAAATAAAATCATACATTTAACTGTGTATATGTACCTTTGCACTGGGGACAGTTTTCCAGTTGTCTGTCTGTCCTGTTGTCACGATATCTCAAAGTAGCTTGAGGGAATTTCATTAAGTTTAGCGTAAACCGTTCACTTGGGCTCAAGGTTTAATGATTGGAATTTGATGATCAGAGATCACTGGGACTCCATAAAGCAATTTTGTGCTTATAACTTCTAGATAGAATAAGCATATAATGATTAATTGACACATTTAAGTGAAAACTTCACTGCAACATCATGATACTCTGCAAAAAACAGACTTACTTCTCAGGATGAGCAACTGATATGGCCTTGAACAGCAGCTAGGAGAGTTAATGGGGCATAAAAATCCCCAAAAGTGCTTTAAGTCTTCTCTCTTCTTCACCTACGCCCGACTACAGGTGCAAGATGGGACACTCAGACCGGAGTGATAACTGAGGCTCGTTTAAAGGAACTGACCCCAACCATGCCTGTTATCTCAGTTCGAGCTGTACCCAGTGACCGTCAGGAAACCAGGAATATCTACGAGTGTCCCCTCTACAAGACCAAGATCAGAGGACCCACGTATGTTTGGACTTTCAGTCTAAAAACCAGGGAGCGACCTGCCAAATGGGTCCTGGCCGGAGTGGCTCTTCTACTCAGTGTGTGAAAAGTGTAAGAGTTCTCAGTGAAGATGCAGTGTGTCCTCAGTGCTCCTGATGTCCCTTTTGAACTTATTAGTAGCGCAAAGTGACTGGAATATAATAAGATTTCTTTTCTTTTTATTGAAAAATGATAAAATGTACAGAGAAAAATGCCAATACTTCACACACTAGATCACAGTTAGAACTGAAAGTCAAAGCATGTTTGGAACAAATCAAATCTATAAACTACAAGATATAAGCAGGAGAAGAAAAAAAAAAGAAAACAAAGACAGTGCTGCCTCGTTAGAGCGGCGTTCAAGTGTCTTATTTTGTTACACTTGTACCTCTTACAGTATGTTATGCATCAGTTTTAATAGCACATTAAATTACACAGGTGAAGCCAATCTGACAACATGACAGTACAACCTCAAACTGCCTTTTCCTTCCTTCCCTCTTCACAGTACACATGGGTGTAGTATTCGTCCATTTAATTAAAAAACAAATTAACAAAAAATGTGTGTATACCAGCTCTTTTTTTAACAGGAGATCGCACATACTGTAGCTCAGATACTGCATGTGCTTACAAGTCAAAATCTTTCTAGTTTGGCCTCGGTGTGTATTTCTGTGTGTGTTTTCTGTGCATGTTTCTGCTAAGGTGTCATCTAATCACTGTCAGACCAGTCGAGCTCCATCATGTCCATGGCTGCTGTTGCCATGTTGATCTTGGTTCCGTGCCGCATGCTGCAGCTCTTAACAGAGTTCTGATTAGACGATGCCCGCATGCTCACCTGCACCCCAGAGTGACCGACGACACCCACTTCACCCCTGATCTTTTGGCTGATGGCCTCGCTGAGGTCTCCTCTAACATCCTGGACTACAACTCCCATGTCACTCCTGCGACCCCTGACCCCCAGCTCACTTCTGACGCCGTGACCAATGACTTTCATCACTCCCAGGTCGCCCATGTTCATGTCCATGTCACCCAGTCTCTCCATCTCCCCCATCTCATCCATATCTAAAGACAGCATGTCCCCAAAGCCCCCCATGCTCCCATGGAGACCTTTGAACATCGTTGGGAGCCTCCCTCCTTCGAGACCACCCTCCATCCCTCTCTCTTCCAGCGTGTCGCCGAGTTTTTCTATCTCCCATCCTCCCTCTCTATCCCTCTCTCCTTCCGCCTCCCCAAATCCCCCCGAGTACCCTCGGACAATAGTAGTCACCCTGCTTCTTTGCATTCCTCCCCTCTCCCTGTCCCCTTCCTCCCATGTCCTCTCCTCCCTTTCCACTACGCCACCGGGGAAACTCCTGAGTGTCACCTGCACCCTTCCTCCCTCCAGACTCCCACTGTCATCTCTGTCTCTCTGTCCCCAGCTTTTCTCCTCTAGGGTACCCTCCTCTTCCTCGTCCTCCTCCCCTAACCTCCCCTGCAACCCTCGGAACATGGCGTGCAGCCTCGTGCTGTCGAGCGAGCCCATCCCTCTCTCCAGCACCGCACTGCTCCCCCTCTCTGTGTCTCCGTTGCTTAGTGTGCGAAGGAGAGAGCTGACACCAGCACTGCTGACCCCAGCGCTATTGGAGTCCTGAGAGTGTGAGCGGAAGAACGAGCCCGAGGAGCTGATGGACATCGGTGTGAAGAACTGGTAGAGACAAGGGCAAGATTAAGAAAAAGGTATCAGTTAATTTTGTTTATGGCAGTTTGAGATAAATTATATACAGGCAAGTTTTGCGTACCGGTGAGATGTTTGAGCGCTCCATGAGTAGGGAGGTGGGGCTAGGAGTCATGTTGGACCTCTCCATTAGCCTCTCTTCCCACAGTCTGAGCCTCCTCTCTCTCTCCTCTAGCTCCTTCTCCTTGGAGTAAAGTTCCCTCTCTAGCTTCCGGAGGCGCTCTAATGTTGACTCAATTTCACACCTAAAGTATTTATACACATGAAAACATTAGTGGTCAGTGATTAACTCCAGGTTTTAAAGGAGAAATGACTATATTCAGAATGAGAATATAATAATTAATATGTAGTCTGCTAAAAACAGCTACCAGTGCATCTAAAAAACTGTATATAATGAAAAGGTTTTATTTTTAATTTATGTCATATATCACATATTCAATACACATAATGTGAATTATTTGAAATCTTTTTGTTTTAACATTGATGCTAATGACCAGGGGTCCCCAATTGCAGTCCACGAGGGCCGGTGTCCCTGCAGGTTTTAGATCTCACCCTGGGTCAACACACCTGAATCACATGATTAGTTCATTACCAGGCCTCTGTTGAACTTCAAGACACGTTGAGAAGGTAATTTATCCATTTACATCAGCTGTGGTGGATCAAGGACATATCTAAAACCTGCAGGGACACCGGCCCTCGTGGACTGCGATTGGGGACCCCTGCTAATGACTTACAGGTCATGAAAATCAGAAATCCAGTACCCCAGATTATTTGAAAGCTTTCATTTTAAGTAAATTGCTATGCCAACTCTCGATCTAGTTCAGTACACACAACTACAATCATGGAGATGACTGCTGACTTGGTAGTCGTTTCTATGATGGTCACTGACACTTTCCACAAAGAGGGTAAGAAGGCGTTTGATGAAAAGCCTGGCCTTTCAGAGTGTTGTATCAAAGCTTATTAATGGGATTAACTGAAAGGGAACACTGTAGTAGGAAAAGGTGCACATGCAACACGAATGATCGCACCCTTTAAAAAATTGTCAAAAACTTAAGAAAGATTCAGAGTGGACTGATCCTGGTTTCTGTGCATCCAAAGCCACCACAGAGGTCTCCAGGAAAGGAGAGACAACACCAAAAGAGTTTAACTGGGCTAAGAACAAAAAGAACTCAGTGAAAGTCCTCTTTTCAGATGAAACTCAATTTTGCATTTTAGTTGGACATAATGTTCCTAGAGTCTGTCAGAAGAGCGGAGAGGAGCCAAGAATCCAAGGTGTTTGAAGTAGTCTGTGACGATTTGGGGCGCCATGTCATCTGCTGGTGTCGGTGACGTTGTTTGGTCCACCATGTTAGTCCAAAGTCAACATGAGACAATCAGAAAGAGATTTTAGAGCACTTCATGCGTCCACCTGCTGGCAAACTTTATGGAGACAGTGGTTTGTTTCCAGAAGGACCTCTAGCAGCACCCAGCCATAGTGCCAAAACTACGACTGAATGGTATGCTGACCGTGTTATTACAGTGTTATTATTACTGTTATTGTTTGTGACCGGCCAACTTGTCTGGCCTGAACCTCATCAAGCACCTGGAATATTGAAAAAAGGAAGTCAAGAAACACCAGACCCAAAAATACAAACAGCAACCTGGGCCTCAATAACACCACAGCAGAGCCAACACTTGATTGAATCCCTGCTAAGACACTGATGCAAAATATTGAGGGCCTAAATAAGCATATTATTCAAAAGCTGGTCATTTCTGTATTGTAAACATCATTATAATTAATATTTTAATGATTTAAGATACTGGATTTGTGATTTTCATAAGCTGCAAGACATTTTTCACTTTATGTATATTGAAAATGCAAAATGTGAAAGTTTACATTTTTTGAATTTTGCAATGACCTCTGAGGCAAACTCACTGGAAACTACAATTCATTTTCATTTCTTTCATGAATTTTATTTCACATTCACTTGATACTTTCATTTTTTTATAACATTAAAATATTTTATGTTCATGAGGAAGTAGTTTGCAGTTGTGAGTAGTTAACTTTTTACAGCAGAACACAACATTGTTTTATAGTCGTCTTTTGATGCAGTACTCTCCTTTGCCACAAGAGGTCACTATTGGATTGGCTGTCGATGAGCCTGCATTCACAAACACAATCATCTCTCACGGCAACTAAATATAGACATGTGCAGAGTCATACCTCCTCCTGTATTCCTTCCATACTTCCCCTTTCATTCATCCCACCCCTTCACCTCTCCTCCCAGCTTGTCCAAGTTTTTCCACCCATACCTAAAACTTCACTCAGAATTGATTGCCTTCCTGTACTCATGTTAAATATGCACAGAATTTTGCACCTTCTCTCCTCCTGCTGTTCCATTGGCCACCTCTCTCTCCCTTTTTCCCTGCACCCCCCAACCTCCCCTCATCTGTCCACTCTTGTTTTCCTCTATCCTTGCTGTTTGTGTCTCGCTCAGTGTTTTAGATTTCACACTCACACAATACATTTCTGTTCCTCCCTGAACCTCTCCTCCTCCTCCTCCTCCTCTTCAACTCTTCAGTTTGATTTCTCCTCAACCACCCCACACCACCTCCAACCCCACCCCTTGTCTCTTTCTCCCCATGTCGGAGTGAGGGCAGAGTGGAGGAGTAGAGGAATCTCTTCCATGGCTACTTTCCAGTGAGCTTAATATAGACTGAAGTAGAGTACAGGGTCACACATTCAGCTTCTCCCTTGAGCTTCAGTGTCCACAGAGTTGTGTATGTATACATGTATGTGAGCGAGGGTACATGCTGATGCGTGTGTGGATTTGTGATCTACCGTGTGCACACGCATTCAAGAGGGTGGATTTGTCAGCCTCATAAGAGAACAACACTTTATAGCATGCACTTAAAAACGTCAGGAGATCCCTCTGACACAGTGCAGTTACACTCTTATTTTGGATGTCTACAAGACTGTGTTTTTTGTGTGTGTACCTCCACTGGTCCTTGTTGTGTAGGAAGGAGTTACACTGGTCCGGTAGCCTGCTATCGTTAGCCATGGTCTCCAGGGTTGCCAGCACCTGCTTAAACTGTGGACGCTCCTGTAAATACATTTGTACACACAGGATATGATCGTGTATCTTTGAAAGCATTCGGTGCGCTATATGAAACTTTTTTCCGCACATTAATCACTGTGTCCTGAGTCAGTTTAGCTTACCTTTGGGTCTGCTTGCCAACATTTTCTCATCAGCTCTGCAAAACTTGCTGGGCAGCTGGTGGGAATGGTCAGCCTCTGGATAGCCAAACACAATAACACAGACACATATAAAAATAATTACTATACAAATGAAACCACCCCTTTTTTTTTTTTCTTAACT